GACGACGCGACGGCGGAGGTCGAGGAAGCGCCGTGAAGGGGAGGGGGAGGTGCTGCAAACGACGACGACGGGGGCGGGGACGGGGCGACGGGGGCAAGGCGACGGGGCCGACTGATGCTGAAGCGAGGGAGCCGGCGGAGTTAAAGCCGGTCACAGGAACAGCTCGCGAACTGGGCGAAGAAGCAAAGAGATACAATATAAGAGGTGAAACACGTAAATATACCCAGGCGAAAAACAAAGGATGTACAAACAACGAAGATAAATAAGCTTGGTCGTGTATACAAAGAGAAAAGAGATTCAAAGGGTTGCCTTTTATGTTTCGGAACAATGGAAATAATTTAAATGAGGAAGCAATAGCACGGTGGAGTAACGGCACCATACAAAGAAAGAGTTATTACTAATAATTACCTGGTGATATGTAGCATGACGTTGAGATAAATATATGAAAAAACAGTTATAATGTTATCTAAGGAAATTAAAAGATTGTAAACGAAATTAAAATTATAGAAATATTAGAGAAAAGCTTTGAGTGAGGGGTGATTGAGCAGACTAAAAACGTGTGAAATGAAGTGTAATAGTTGCAACGACATTGACAACGCCAAGGGCGACGTCGACGCCAAGGGCGACGTCGACGCCAAGGGCGACGGCGACGCCAAGGGCGACGGCGACGCCAAGGGCGACGGCGACGCCAAGGGCGATTGCGACGCGTCGGTATAGGAACGCCCCCTGGCCTGGAGCGCCCTCCGCTGCGTCGCGATGGAATCGATAAACGTCAGGCGATGTCCGCGCGGCCGAGGCGCGTGCGGCGCGAGATGAGGGCAAATTACCCAGAGAGCTTCCGCCCCCCCCACTCCACTGCCACTTCCTGGTGCGGTCGCCTGTCTCATCAAACACACTTCTTGCATGGAGGGGTGGGTCAGGGCATCAACTGATGTCTATGCGGACCTCTGATCGGGAGGTTCTAGGTGCCAGGTAGCAGGTCAAATTAAGACGCTGTCTGGAGGAGATTTCCAGCAACCGGCTGCTCTAATCCGTAGTTCGTGGTTTTTCCGATCAATATCAAGCAAATTCAAGAGTAGTACCCTAAGAAACGGGCCACGGACCGCGCGCCATTTCATGCCTCTTTCTTGCCCTATCCTCACCCCTTTATTCTACTTTACCACGCATAGCCTGGAGACCGGTCAGAGCCCCTCCTGGGCAACATGTGCTCTACACCTGAGAGTCTGATGTCTTTTTTAGTTGACGTGTCCGGAATTAGTAACAATCAATCAAGCAATCGATCACGCTTCTCCCCACGACCCCCTACCTTCGTCTGGGGGTCGCCATTCTTCGCCTTGATGCGCGTTCCGTAGGAGCTCCGTGTTCTTGTTCTTCGCTCCCGCGCAAATCGCACTTCGCCGGGTGCACAGAGAGCTCTGCCGGAATGTCTCGAGATTCTTGGGCGTGAGGTGGTAGCCCTGACGCAGAAAATAGGTGGTACACAATTTGGAAGCAAGGATTGTGATTGGTCCTTTGTCCAATGGTTCTGATATTGCTCATTCACTTTGATTATCTATTTATTTATCTATTTATTTATCTAGTTATTTATCTAGTTATTTATCTAGTTATTTATCTATTTATTTATTTATTTATTTATTGATTGATTTCATGTCAAAAACCGTTACAAACTGCAGGACGCACTTTAAAGGAGATCTGCAATTTATGCATGTTTTCTTGAGCTCTGGGATCCCTGCCTAATAAGATGAATAATCAACATCAATTTCGTAGTAAGCTCTTATAGAAATTAGAATTATTAGTGTTCTAATAATTCATGGCTGCTTTTAATTACAACTATGAACATCTATGTGATCATTTCCAGGATGAATATAAAAAATAATGTTATGTTTTAGTGAGTATTAGAGGTACTTAATATAATAAATGTAGATAAAATTTTCGATATTCGTATTGTAAGAACTTATTACAAAGCCCAATTGATCTCTTCTCTAATTTCGTAAATAACTTTTGCGGAGCCAGTTTGTACAAATGTTCATATATTTTAGAACTAAGAGACTTCATATAAAGAATTACAATGAAACGAATTGTGCACACCCAAACTCAGTGATTAACAAACGTGGAATGGTATGAAATGAAGTAAATGCCGGCAACTGAGGAGTATAGTTACGCAATGTAAAAGGGAGCATAATCTATCCAGAATGGTCATTACGTTGGAAAACGTGACTGAAAAGAAGGCTTTGGGAGATGAAGTCACGGACTTAAATGTCAACACACACAGTATATGCAATGTTGCTTAAAACTTGCAACAAACTCAACATTTTTCTGTGAATATACAACTCGTACTTGAAGTTAATTTTTAACAGTGAACTGGAAAAAGTTACTATTGAAGCAAGAGTTTTAAGTCAATTCTTTTTTAAATCCTCGAAATTAAGTGCAATGATAGGTTATTGTGTAAAAAAAGTATTGTGATTTTTATTCCTGTACGAATCCGAAACATTGAGACCGGCAACTTAATGTTCCGTCACTAGGGCTGTCAACGTAATCATTCATTAGACAATGAATAAGCAATCACAAAATATGAAATAATCGCTCTTAAGAATTTTTTGGGATAAGAAGTTTAAGTAAACAAAATGGAAACAACGCTTCAATTGTTATAAAGAAATAAAACGGAAAGAGTTTCTTTAAATTTATTACGTAAATTGCCTCATTGCTCTAGAACAAATTTATAATTCACATTATTTCAATTTACATATTATTTTCTGAAAATTATGTAATTAGTGAGTTAACGGGTTGGAGGAGTACGTGATAATACGGTCATGTTCTTTATAAAAAGCTCTCATAAAAATGTGGTTTGTGTAACAAGCGTGCCAGATTCTCGTGCAGTAGCACGAAACAAAACAGAAGAAATCTGTTGTCGTAGAATTGGAAAGAATGAAACTTCTTACTCGACTATCTTCACTAGAAGAACTTTTTGGACGATGCTTTAAAAGTTGTTAGCACAAAAACGAATAAGAATTCTACCCAAGCACGGTGTGGTGACTACTTCAAGGCTCGGCGGTAAAGAAAGGGAACAGGGTATCAAATTTACATTTCATCGGCATTGTTTTTACAACTAAATCTGGTAATTTTAGTGTAATCGTATTGAATAATCGTTTATAATTCTTTGACAAACCTATGCCACACGCTTAGGACAATTCATTTTCGTAAAAAAAATTATAAATAACTGTTGTTACTGTAATTTCTTTCATGGGGTAAGAATTTGTTGGCAGTAAAGTGAAATTAGTAGCCGGCGAATAAAACTATATATCAGTAGCAGATACGAAAATTATGTAATGATGAACGAAATAAAATATAGGTTACAATAATACTTCCTAAATATATTAATTTTCTGGGTTCATTTAAGATTTTCTTTGATCATAGAAGAGAAGAAAATTCATACAATTTTGTTTTGATTAGGATTCCACCAAAATTGACGAATTTTCTCAGAAACTGATTATACAAATAATAAAGAGAGTTATGGTAACAGGTTTATACTACCATGACTATTATTCCTGTTCCTGTTTGTCAAATTAATGCACTGGTATTTTTCAGAGAAAACTAAATGACTTATTGTCTCCAATAGCGTTTTCAATCTCTGACCAAAAAGGTGTTTAAAGCTTCCCGTCTTTTCTTTATCGCCGAGCCTTGAAGTAGTCATCACACCGTGCTTGGGTAGAATTCTTATTCGTTTTTGTGCGAACGTCTTCAAAGCTTCGTCAGTATCTCCAGCCGAACAGTGGTATGTGATGAACGCAGTTTGCAGTGCGTCTTCAGCCCAATGAGGAGTTCTGGCTGACGCAAGGATTCAAGAGATCATGTTGGTTTGTTATTGTACTTGGCGCAGCAATCAGAGTCTATATGTTTATAAATAATACCACAGAAAGAATAAAATAATTAATGATTGTATAAATAAATGAGCAAGGGGGAATAATAAATTCATTCATACACCTCTCTGTTCATTAACATCTTTTCAGATTACCTAATTTGATCGTTGAACTAGTGGTGCTACAGAATTACACTTTCCCGTATTAGTTTTTTTTCCCTTTGGTCTCCTCTATCTGTGCGAAGTTTCCACATACTCTTGCCAGCTGCCATATATAGTCGTCGAAAGTACATTTTTTTGAAATGTTCTTAATTTTTTGGTTTACTAATAGTAGAACTGATATATTATTTTAAGAGTATTAAATAACAGTAAAACCTCTTCCTAAATGGCAATTTTATTTGAAATATTTGAAAAAAAACCATACACCGACATGAACTTTTTGTCATATTAAACAGTACAATTAGCACTATCTGTTCGAAAAGGTTTAAGAAAAAAGTTGGAGCCGTTTTTGAGGAAATTGCGTTTGGGCGTTTCTGAAAATGTGGAATTTTGAGCTCCTTGATATGCCGTTTTTCTGTTATTTGAAAACACTATTATATTTGTAAGTTAAAGAACTTAATATGACTTCAATTGAAGTTTTTCGAAAATTCAAAAAAATGTAAAAACAATTCTATTATCGAGTTTACAGTAGCGCTTAAACGCCAGGTTTTTAAATATGTCTACAAATTTTTGAAAGTAAGTTGCCATTTAGGATGAGGTGTGTCATTCTGTACCACCACTAGTTTATTGATTGATTGATTGATTGGAGTTTCAACTGCTGAGGTCTTTAGTCTCGTACGTGTAGTGCATGTTCGTACCACGGGAGGTGGCTGAGAGGAGGAGGTGCTTTCCTCGCTGAATGGCGAGATCCGGCGCCGACCTACCGTCGCCTAGCGGGTTTCCAACCAGGAATCTCCCACCAGCACCGTCCCGGCCGGGACAAGCTGTGCGCTCACGTCAGATCTCCCGGAATGTGTGGTAGTTTAGTGCATATCAGTGTGTGTGTAAGGGGACAGGATAGAACAAGGACGAAGTAGAAAAGATCACGCGCAGTCTGTGGCCCGTTTGTTAGGGTACTGCTCCGGTATTCGCCTGGTATTGTTCTGAAAAATCACGGGCAACGACCGATCAGAGCTACCGCGTGTTAGAATTCTTCTCCAGACAGGGACTGAAATCGACCCAGCCATTCGTGGCCGGTCTACGAAGTGGGCGGGGTGCGTGCGGTCGGGCAACGGGGAGGGGCGGTGGCGGCGGTGCGAGGCGGGTTGCCGGAGCGGGCGCCGGGGCGGAGGCGGAGCGCCCTTGGCCGGGGCGGGCGCCGTGGCTGGGTGGGCGCCGGGGCGGGGCGGATCGCCCAGGCGAGGAGCGAGGCGGGGCGGGGGCGAGCTTATTGATTGCGTGTCGGTCGCTGCCCTCTCCTCGCGTCCCCGCCCCGCCCCTCCAGTCGGCGCGCGGGCCTGCCTCAAGCGAGTGGCATGCGAGCGCCTTCGGGCAGAAGTGGCTGGAGGGCGAAGACAGACGGCTTCGAGCCTACGTCTCGCCCCGCACTTCGGAACTTGAGATTTACCGGAGTATTAACGATGTGGGCCCTTATACAACGTTTTCTTAAGCTGAAATAGACACCTAATTTGGATCTTTTCAAGTTTTTGAATAGTTGCGGAGAATTTTTACGATATACGGATTTTTCCCTGAATGCTTGGGTTGTAACAAAAATGTTAGTTTTAAGTTTCGTTATTTAATAAAGAATGTTCCAGTACATTTACCTAAAATATCCGATGGTATTTCGCGCACGTGCTGGAGGTTCGGGCTCAAAGAC